GCATGTATTACTCTTATGATATATATATATAGTCTAATCCATATCACAATAAACATTTATATAATATTCTTAGGCTGAACTTCATTGACATTATGTGTTTCACTTAAAGGTTGATAGGTAGTCTATCTTGCTAACCAACTTAAACAAAAAATAACTTTATCATCTGGACATGGAAACTTGTACCTTCCCGGATTCTTGATCAATGGTTCCTTGGAACACCTCCGGAGCTATGTCGATTTTAAGAAACGGCGGCAATGGAAGGCCGAGAAACTTCGTGGTTTGGTTTGTCAGAGAAGGAATGTAAAGAGTGTCCACATCAAAACTAACAGACAACTCAGAGTTTTGTGTTCTGTTTTTCTCTTCTCCGATGCTCATGGCCGTTCCGGAGCCGGAACCTCCTTGAGGAGAATATTCGAAATCAGGGTATCTTGAGATGCTAAGCTTACCTGTTCCAATAGTCTTGAAACTGACACTGGAGAGGGTACTTGGGAGCTGTGTTGTGTTGGGTTTGGAGCTTAGGGAGTTTGAAACTAGTTTGATTTGGTTTGGTGATTTGTGGTTAAAAGTGTATCTTCTTGGGGATTTGTAGATTGTTGTTAATGAGTTTATTCTTGTTGAAGCCATTGTCTCTCACCTTTTTTTTTTAACAATGTGTTGTGATGAATCAATTTGATTAAGGAAAGACATAGTTGTTTTTTTGTTTTTGCATCAATCTTATCGTACAAAAACATGTGGCTAGTTTCTAACGTTCATTCTTCACCTAGCAATTGTATATTTTAATTAATTTGTATAATGGGCTATAAATAATAGCATGGATGGCCCATAAAGTCTATGGGTTAACTTAATCTCACTCAGTTTTGGGCTCAATCTATCTTTGAGGTATGGTAACCGGAAATTTTGTTTCTGTTTCAAGTGAACTTTGGTTCTCTGTTTGTGTACATATTGCACATTGTAATAGTTTTTGTTACCCAATTAACAAGACATGAGTTTTGTTTTTGTAACTGAACGAGGAATAAGTTTCTAATTATTGAGAGCATTTCTGGTTTAACTAATATATAAGTAAAAAATTTTAGCAAATGGAAATATGTTTGACTTGTAAGTCTGTAACTTGTGAGTTGTAAGTGAAAGAGTAACTACTATAAGTTGGAAACTGGCTGTATGGATAATTAAGAGAATCGAGTAGCGCTGGGCAAAGAATCGGAATCGGAACCGAAAAAACAAATCGGAACCAAACTGAAATAGTCGAAACTGAAAACGGATCGAAATTATTAAATATATGAATGGTTCCTATATTTCTATACCCGAAAAACCAAACCGGAACCGGAACCGAACCGAGAACCAACGGGTACCCGAATATCCGAAAAAATAAGTTATAGTTTTTTAATATAAGATAAAATGACATCAAGCCAACTTGAACTCATGTTGAATACAAAGAGTAAGTACATTTTTACCACTAGACCACATTATGTTTTATTTATTCTCTTATATTATAAATATATAGTATTTCGATATTAAAATACAATAAATATTTATAAGATTAACACTTTATTGATTCGAATTTTTGTTGGATTGACGAATATGTAAGCGTGTAAATACTAGACCATATATATTTGATTTATATATTAAACGGATATCCGGAATCGAACTGGAACCGAACCAATACTGAATCGAAATTTCTTAAGTACCTACTGGATATAAGAATGATTTATCCAATATACCTGAAATCGAATAATTTCTATCCGGAACCGAACCGAATATCCGAATGCCCAAACCTAGAATCGAGTATGTGATATTAAATTAAATTTCTTGAATTTTTCATCTCCTACCATATATTATAAGGATTTACAAACACCTGGACATACACCAAGGATGACTTGGCCAGAATCCCTTTTTATTTGGTGATGCAAACATATTTCAAGTGAGTCTCTCTCCACTATCCCGCATCCACTCAAACTCAAACACACATGATTATGCTTTATATATTACAAAAGCTATAGAAAATAACATCACTCTATTAGATAATGATGCAATAAAAAACATATATCCCAAATATTTTTTTTTATAAATTGCAATATTGAAACATTTTTACAAGAATTACACAGATTTTTATAATCTTGTTGACATCCTTACAAAACAAATGTAAATCATCATTAAAGATAGTCTAATTAAAACAATTATGGAAGCATAGTCTAGGCTGATATAGATTTTACGATAGATTACTCCATTCAATTTATATTTCAATCTAAATGTTCCATTTTACATTTTATATCCGTCATGTTTAAAACCTATATGAATCACGCAGACTATTAACCTTTTGAGGTCGGCAAATATTGAAACCTTTTTGATGCATTACGCAGACAATCAATCTTTTTGACATGCTTACATGTAAAACTTTATGTATCGTTTTACAGGTCATCAGACTTTATGTACTGATACCGACAATCTCCTAAAATTTTTACTATGAAAGTATTACTTTTAGCTAGGGCGGTCAATATTGCGGCAGGTTACTGCATGTATAAAACCTATACTAAATCCAAAAAAAAACGAAAAAAAAAAAATGAATATCGCCAAGTTGTGTAAAAATGAAAGCCAAATAAGTGTTGTTGGAAATTAAAAAAATTCCGAGCTCTTAAAAAAAACCACAACCATTTTAAAATACAATATTTTATGTTATTTTTTTTTTTTTTGAACTTAATTTCATAATATTTTATGTTATTGATACTTTAATAACGTTTCATGCGCGAATATATGCATATGAAACAGTTAATGGATGTTTATATTATAAGAGTGAAGACTTTCTGCCATTGTGGGAAATATAAACCTGTAGAATTGGGACTGCTTTTGTAGAATATGGACCGATCTGACTTTGTCAAATTCATCTTAACCGTTGGTCCTCGCTCCTATGATAAGAGTTACTCATTTTCCGCACGCCATTAACGATAAAGATTCCCATATTTTTCATCGTCAATGCTTTCCTAATCTCAGCCATACCTTCCCCAACACTACCGTGAAAAAGATGATGTGCTTTCACCGTTTAACGCCACCCTAGCAAGATGCTTTTTATGCTAACCTCAAAAAGATTATATTTCCTCATCCCATTATTATCTTTTTATCAGTTATGGAGTTTATTAGTCTCTATCATCATTCATAGTTTTTTTCGTTAACACATGTTATCGGTTAGATGAATCAGATCCACCATCTACTCTATGTATATGTGTTAGCTATAGACGTTTCTTTTTCACTTTTTTTATTTTGCAAGGTTTTTACAACGTACTTCTTACGTTATTGCTGAAAGGGTCAAGATTAGGAGAATTAGAGACTTTGCTACGCATTTATCACTATATGTAAATTCAGTAAGATGCGATGAATAGCATAGGAGAAATACATCTTTCTTCTCTCTTTTTTTTTTTTTTTAAAAAAAGAATTCTTTCAACTATCATAACATGGTAGGCTGCTCTCTCTCTTCGATGATTCCTAACAAAATTTAAATCTAATACTATAGTTGAACACTTTCGATAAAACTATAGAAATTCCCAAATCATCTGCTCTCGTTAAATTTTATGATTGGAATATACCGACAGGTAAAGGACAAATGATAAGATGACAAATTGGCTAATTTTTAAAAATTTATGAATTATAGAGTCGAAAATACGTTGACGAAAACCAAAATATTGATAAAACTGGTGAACCACTTGTTTAAAATGAATAGATTTGAGCATTTGAAAGTCATGCATACTATC